TCCACGGTAATTTGAAATGTGCTACTCTTCGTAGGGAGCGACGATATACCTTTTCATCGGTAATGCTGTCACCACACGCTAAGTAATTTTGTTTTTCATTTGTGTTCTACGCTCCCTGAGCAAAGAAATCAGCCAACTACTTCATCCGCGGTAGCCGAGTGGTGAGGGCTGCGTACTACAAGCCTGCAGGTCCCAGGTTCGATCCTCGGTTGGAGCGATTGCCAATTTTTTTTTTATTGTTACTTAAATTTTTTTTTAATCTTGTTTGATTTATGTATTTAGTTTTACTTTATTTTATTTTCGTTTGTTTTATTTTATTTAAATTTTTTTAAATCAAAAACAACTATTTAAAAACAACTTTAAAAAAATATAGAAGTTATAATTGAATGAATAAAAATAAAATAAATGAATATTCTACTGGCCGTGGGATTCGAACCTACGACCTCGCGGCTCGCAAATCCGCATTGCTGCCATCTGTCAAGGCACAATTTTGATCAGATCGATTGTGGCGTTAATCCGGATCAACGTTGCGTCTCTCTATGCTTTAAAAGAATGCTTGTGATGAGCGTACTGCTCACGTGAGTTAGCTTTGCCGACCACTGTTTTTGAGCCCGATTGTATGCTCTCTAGGGAAACCAAGCAGTTTTCCTGAACGTTGAGATTTAGTTTTCTGAATTTATGAAAAAATATTCGCACCGGTCGAAAGAAATCACCTAGTCAGTTTTAACATACATATGTATGTATGTATATACTATCGGAAGTTAACAAAGGAGATTTGTGCAACCAAATCAAAGATAGTTGAAGCCGTAAATAAATTAAGAAAATTGCATTCCCACGTATTTATGCAATAACACACAATGGCGTATTTAGCACGGGTGGCACCCGGTGTGGATATTCAAGTTTCACCGCAATGTAAAAAAGCAGGGTTGTTGCGAATATTCAGATTCGCATTCGCAACCGCGGAGCTTCCGCATTAATGCTAAGATTCGCACTCGCATTCGAATTAATCAATGCGGAGCTTTTGCGAATGCGAATCTTGTGCAAGTGCACCGATAAACGTATATATGGCAAACAAAATGACAAATTGTTGCCAATATTTTTGTCCGTGGTCGTGGGAGTATTTATGTAACAAAACTGGTCAAATGTCATATTTATCAACTTTGATAAAAATGTCTTAAACATATTATTTCTTAAGCTATATAACCGAGCTATTAATGGGCAGTCGTACAAGTTCCAACTTCTACTTGACCTTTGCCGTACGTGAAAGGGAACCTAGCCTTTTTAACAATTTTTTTGTTTTCTCTTTCAATACCTGCATTGGTTTCTTTCTTTATTATGATTTTTCTTTTACCAATCTTAAAAAAACTACAAGACACAAAAGAAGAAAGTGTGCACTGTAATTCTTAACCAAATTTTCATGATTTGCTTTTGATGTTACGTATATTCGTTTTAATAATTTCAAATGGGGCTCTTTGGGGAATTTATTTTTATCAAAAATTTAAAGAACAGTAATTTTGTTTACTTGTTAGGCAATATTTTTTTAGTAGGGAAATACATTGGATCCTTGGCTAAAAACTTCTGTGGTAAAACTGTCCTTCTTTGCTATTAAAAGTCAAAGAGTAAGCTTCTTCAACAGGGATTTCCAGCAGAAATGATCAACGTCAGGCTTTAAAGAGAATCGATGCTCAAATAATTTAAAAAAAACGGGGTGCTTTTTTAAGAATAACAATATTCTGATTCAGCTGACAGCTACGACTTTGAAAACAGAATTGTGTTCAAAATTTTCATTCCTAGAAAATAATAATTTATTTTCCATATCCACTTATTTAGCTCGCTATAAGCACAAATTGTTTAAACCAGCCGCAGAAGAATGTATTAAAAATGAATTACAAAAACTAAAATCGAAAAACGCTGATGAAGTTACAGATTCCCCAAATTCTGAAACAGCCAAAGGAATGAGAATGAAGAATTCTTTTTAAAAGGCTTTAGAAAAACCTTACACATTGGTTTGGATTTTTAAGCGCTGTTTAAACAACGATCTCGCCATTATGCTAATTGTTTCTTAAAAATACTTGGCATCCGCATTCGCATCCGCATCCTCGGATGTTAGCTGTTAGATATTCACATCCGCATTCGCATCCGCGGATGTCTAAAATTCCACATTCGCAACATCCCTATAAATAAGTATGATTTCTAGTTATTTATTTATTTTATTGTAATTAGATTTAGATTACAATATTATGATATCAATTGTATTGCTTCTGTTATTTTTCCGTTGCATCATCATAATCATTTGTTGTATTATCATGAAACTATTATCAAAGTAAATAAATTTGTATAAATTTTGTTTATAAATATGGGGTACATATTTTTAGGTTTCATTTTCTGCATAAAAATCCGCAGTCTAATCATGAGAATCGATTACTTTTGATGAACTCTGTATATCATCAGTTTTTGTATCTTTTAACCACTTCCAGTTTAGCCTGTTTGGATTTTCTCTGCTGAAACCTATGTACTTTTCCTTTCGAGTTAAGACAAAATCGAGTTACAAGACTTTCAAATTGACGAAATAAATATGCTAAACGTGCTTGAACCAGTTAAATGAACAAAACATGTTCATAAACAAGTTAAATCGCATGCAATTGCCTTGCAAAATTTAACAATTTAATCATTTAACTCGTTGAAAACCATTTTCCCAAAAATGTCTTGAAAGATTACTATTTTTCAAAAGTGCCATTTTGGCACTTTGTGCCAAAGTAAAAAATTAAGTGCCATTTGAAGTAAAATAATGCCAAAAATGGCACGGTTTGATCCAAGTTGGCAGCCCTGCATGGGAGTGCTTAATGACGCAGAAATATTGGGGTTAAAATCTGCTGTACAGAGCATGACATTTGGGTCAAAGATTTCGAAGTAATCATATCGCAAAGTGAAGTGAATTAAAAAAAAAGCGATAAACTACAAAAAAATTAAATGAAAAAAAAGTGATTTTGCCGTTATTTTTTGACGATCGAAAATCACCGCAAACAAGTGGCCACCGGTGCGGGCCACCCCTCACGTCCATTGTAGCAACGCCACTGATAACATTTACATATGTACGCACTTGTTTGTACCCGTAATACGATGCAAATAATTTTCAAGCTATAAAATATGCATAGAAACAATTCTACTTACCACATAAATAAAACTAAAGCCATAATTACTATAAAAGTGAGAAATAATACTCTTCATTGTGACATAGATGTGGAGATATGTACGAGTAGTTTGTGCATTTGTGTGTTTTGGCGTTGCAGGCTGAAAACAGCTGTAAAGAAGAAACAATAAAAACAATAAACTTTTTGTTAGTAAATTCATTGGCAAACAATTTGGCTGGTAAACATTAACATGCATGTGTGATAAAAGATCAGCAAAGTATGTATATATGTATGTACAAAGTGGACATGTTTGTAAATATGTAATAAAAGAGTTCATTGATTGGCGTGAGTGGGTTTGCGCACGCAGCTATTGACAAATCTTTATAATCGTACTATGGGTTATATATATCGCTTGTGCAAAAAATCATAGTAAAACATCTAAGTATATACTATTTAAATACAAATATTCATATTCACCCGCTTACTTAAGTTTAGTGTACAAATGTAAAATAACCGAGGAGAAAAATATGCGTATGTATATAATGAGTAATGGATTTGTTTTCTCAACTCCCTTTATGTATATATGTATGTACATATGTGATATAATAAAACGCCAATAGATTGGCCATAAATCATCTAATATAAAAAACCTTGTGACCAAAGTGAAAGCGATTTCCCTTGAGCAAAGACAAATATGTAATTAGTCAAAACAAATTATATTTACCAACTTTACAATAAAACTAATCAAAAAAACGTTTCTTTCACAACACTTTATTAAAATGTTGGGATGACGTCGTTGATACATAACAAAATTAAAAAAAAAAACAAGTAAATTTTATATACCCGGCGCAGTTATCAACTATCATTGTTCCAATCTTCTTCAAAATACTTACAAGTTTATAACAGTCTTATTTATTGTTAAGATATTGTTGTAGGTATTAACTTGAATAAATTAGCGTCTTCAGTCGTTGAAATATCGGAGTTTTCGTATATCTGAACGGGAAGTCTGTGCAATGTTAGTCCGATTTAAATAATTTTCAACTAATTGCTTTTACGAATTGTTAAGTGCACCGGGTTTTCAAAGATTTTCAAAACATTTCTTAGCTGGATCATAAGCAAGGCTCGTACCAAGTTTGGTAAGGATTGGTGAAGCGGTTTCGCCCATTTTCAACAGCAACCTACCTTGGACATAAGGAAAACTATATACCAAATTTCGTTGAGATATCTAAATTTTTGCTCGAGTTATCGTGTACACGGACAGACGGACGCACAGACAGACAGACTTGGCTTCATCGATTTCTCTTTTCATTCTGATTACTTATGTATGCATTTGTCTATATATATCGCTTTTAGCTACAGCCAGGCACATAAATGCGCTTTCCAATGTTGAATTTCCGTCAACACCACAGCACGCAATTTGTACGGATAACCACCCCCCAGTACTGTTGGAGTCAATCGCTACTTTTGAACCGCTACTGCACCGACTCCTAGGTAACTAGCTACTCTATTAATCCGTGGTAGTGCACATGGTAGTGCAGAGTCCAACCAGATATCGAAAAACTACGACAGAGGGCGCTCACGCAAGTGACTTTGGTAACTCCCGGTAGTGCAGAGAGGGCCGAT